CATGGTTCATATAATATGTGCTATATTTACTGTAAGATCTATGGGATCTACCAGGGACGGATGCGCGTTTTGCTCGTTTGCTGGGAGATCAAACTCTATCCCTCTCTTTTACTTCTTGACAGGACAATAAAGGCCTTCTTGGAACTTCTCTGTAGCATTTATCTCTGTACGAGTTTTATTTTTGTCAATACAGTGGCGAACGGCTGGGTCTAGCCTACTACTATACTGCCATTTTCTGCCACATGCTGGATACTGAGCATGCGCAGATCGCTCGTACATCTCATTACAGATAAACTCACCCAATGAATTCATTACAGATGTACATACTCCAATGAATCTCATTATCTTGCAGTGAATATCGTTAACTGGCCTATGTACCACCTGGCGGTCCCTTTGATCTTACAGTAACTATGGTACATATATTATATACAAGAGTAGCAAGACCCTCCCTTTCCCCTGCACGCCGTGGAAAACTGATCCATAGATTATATATGAGCATAGATCCAAGTGAAGTGAAAGACGCTGTAGAAGTCGATACTTCCATAGCTACTATTCCTACCATTAATTATCTACTCTTTGCTACTTACTACAGCTGGAAATATGCGGGATAGCCTCACTGCTTTATTTTGTAAGCACACCAGGAAGCAGCTTAAATGTTTATTTCTAGTAGTAGTAGTTGTTGTATTTGCGGGTACAGTCTCAGTAGCTGCGCCGCCGCCAGATCAAGCTGTTGTGCAGTCTCTTCCTTTTCATCAAGTGGAGTTTGTATGTGAAGCACATGGAAATCATTTGTCCTGGATTATAAATGGCCAATCATTAACTAATATTGAAAAAGAAGAACGGAATATTGTAGTTATTGATAAGAGTGACACAGATTACCAATCATCAGTTTTAAATATTACCGCTCTACCCATTAATGATGGAATTGTTATTGGATGTATTATTGCCTTTTTACCTCATACCATATCATTCTTTAATGAGCAATTGCTACAAATAAGAGGTTGTTATCTGACTTAGTTTACATAATTTATTTTGCTTGTATAGGTGTATCAGCTGTTACAAATTTGACATTAGATTTCACTGCTAACAATTCTCTTTTTATATCATGGTCACCTCCTGTCTTTCTTTCTAGTGATGTCTCTAGTGATCTTTTAGCTTATCAAGTGTCTGTTACAAATGAAACTGGAATTTTGATATGTGATGATGCAACATCCACTACTTTTTATCAGTTGCCTAATATTACCAAGTGTGACACAATCAATGTCAGTGTAAAAGCATTGCTAGGAAAGTACAAGTCACAAGAAAATTCAATGACAAATCATGGAAGTAAGTGCATGGTACACATGGAACTGCATGACTTATTGTGAATAAAGGTTATTTAATCACCATTGTAAGAAATAATTGCAGTGTAGAGAATCAAATTGTATTGAAGGTAAAATTAATAGTTATCATTAAAATATTATTACTATTTTTTTCTCAACATAAATCAGCTTGACTATTCACCTCTGCGTTGCCCAAGTTTTCTGTTATTTACAGATGCATCAAGCGATGTAACTAGTAGTGAGATTTTAACAACCTGGAATACAGACTTTTTAAACTACACTTTATTGCCTTTCAAGTACTACATATTTGATGTACATGTACAAAACTTGAGGAAAGAAGTGAAACATTATTTTCGCACTAAAATAAGTAAGAACAAGTATTTTTATGACCTTGGGAAGATTTCGGGAGAAGTCCCAAGGTCTTTCCTAAGATTGAATTCAGCCCCCGCGATGTCACTCAGCCAGACTACGTAACAGGGATAGGAAACTAGGATTCCCCATGGATTCCCCCAGTACGTAGTCTATAATATCAGATGATGCAAACACACATGGATATGAAACAGGAAGTACTTTATACACAAATTTATATGGGTGACGTCGTGAATAGTGTTCCTATTCTTTTTTCTATTATCTATGATATAATATCTATGGCTGGGTGCATGCATATGCAGCATTAGTCTGCAGCATGCATGCAGCGCAGCCACGTAACGGTGAGTGAATAATCACTAGCAATCACTAGAACCTTTATAAGTCTTAGAAAGAAGAAATAAGTGCTTACTATGCACAAAAGGTGGTGAAATCAATCTTAGGATAATTTTTACACTTATACCCTTGTTGTGAAATAATTTTTTTCATGCGTGCAGATACATATTATGTTCAAGATCTTATTTTAACACAATACAGTAATGGTGATGTAGGAATAATGTGTTTATATTGTCATGTGCCAGAGACTTGCTATGTAACATTCAATGACACAGCACAAGGAGTGAAAAATGCTATTATAGTAACTGGGTCAGATGAGAAAAGAATAAGACTAAAAAGTGGTACCTATACTGTGAATGCATATGATCTAGTTGATGGCTCTCTTTTTGGCCCTGCTATTGAACCTAAACAATATATAAAGTTTGAAGATTCTGGATCATTCAGCTCAATTTCAGAAGGGACTGACTCTAATAATCCCGGATCTATGACTAGTTAGTCACAATCAGCACATACATGGTTATAAAGTTTTTTTTTTTCATAATAGCATTTTCTATAGCCAGTTGTACGGTTATAGTGATACTTGGCCTGTTGATGATTTTATTTTTTTGCAGTGGTAAACGTAGAAAATAATAAAATTTGAAACTGTTCACTTTGTTCATGCTTATAAAAATTAATTTTATCCCAATTATTATGCTGCAGATTGAACATTTTAACATTATTTTTAATGCATAATTCAAAATTTAAATAAAAGTATTAATTTACCCAACTTTTACAGTACATTTGCACTACATGTTTTTAATTACTATCAATTCATGATCAAACCATGATAAAATGATTAGTCTTACCATAGAGAAGGGGTGGAGCAAGACTCTAAAATGATCAAATCTGAACATCAGAAAAAAAGAGTCCAAATGATTAACAAAATTAAATGTGATGAATTGGATTAATGAATACACCAACAGTAGAAATTATTGATATTCATGACACAAATTCACGGAGATACTATCCGCAGCCTCCTCACAGAGGTCGACAGGGCTGCTGCCTATATTTCTGAGGATCTAGTCTACTGACTGATATTATCTAAGATAGTCTCAGACTATCCTGGGCCACAAGAAGGCAGTGGCTAAAAAGAACTAGGCACTAGATCTGCGCGAGGACTAGCCGATGGATATTTCATTATGCTTCATATCATTTTTTTGCTTCTTGTTTTGTAAAGTAGACGCCGCAGGTAAGTAGATCTAGATCTAGACTATAAGTACTAATTGTACATGAGAAAATGGTCCTGCTCCAGCTAGCCTACAGTCATTGGGGTGGTCCACCCCAAAACTGTAGGCTGGCCCGGGAATGGTCTGGCTAGCTAGCTAGCGAGACTAAGTCTAAGCTATACCCGTCTGCCTCGCGGACCCATGTTTCGTAGGGGTGCTGTATCAGTGGTTTTGTTATTTGATCTCTAATTATGGCATCATAGAGTGGCATGTAGGCATCAGTGTAGCTATACTATAAAAATAGATAGACTACACGTAGGGTAGACTCCTGTACACCCTATTACCCTCAGTATAAATTTGCATATGATGTTATATGAAAATCTGTTTTATAGAGATTACAAAACCCCCTGTAACAACATATGCTTCTCCTTTTTTCATTGTAAATTTCACCTGTGAAGGTAATGGAGATAATTTGTACTGGTTAGTAAACTCAGGTGCACCAAATAAGAGTGAAAGGCAATTAAGATGTATAACAATCAATAACAGTTCTATTAACACAACATATAGCAATTTGTCATCAATTTTAACCATTAAAGCTCTACCAATAAACAATCAAGTCACCATTAGATGCTTCATTCAGTCTCCATTTTGCTGGAAATATGTAAACGCTATGCTATTTATTCAAGGTTTTCTACTATATGAGTGATCTACACTATTAATTAAGTTTATGATATTCATAGGTATATTTCCAGTACATGATATTAAATGGTTTCCCATATCAAACTTAATAACATGGTCTCCTGCATTATCTTTTCCAGAAAATAATATTTTTTATAATGTACTATACAGTACAAAAGGAACTGCGGTAAACACATCAAATACCAGCATTGAGCTAAATACCTCAAGTTGTGTGGAATTCGTCAGTATAACTGCATATGATACTGGTGACCACTATCATTATATGTCATTAGTAGAAACTATCAATATAACAGGAAGTATGCTTTGTACATAACTTTGCACTTACCTGTTATTTTATTCATATTTTATAGACTATAATATTTCTATTATTAGCTATAATCAAGTATTTAACAATACCAATAATTTGTTTAAACTGTCTTTAGAAATTAAAGTAAGTACAACATTTGCAGAATTAGAATCTATACTGAATATTCATAGGTAGAAATTTCAATTCAAAACTGCAATGACTCAATAATACTTGTAATTGGTTCTGAAAATGGAGAAAAAAAGGAACTCTTTGTTTCAAAAGTACAAACAGAAGAGGACTTAGTTCCTATTATAGTAGATCTACAGCCACATGGAACATATAATATCAATATTTCTTTATTTGATAAGTTTGATGAGCTTAAAAGTCATGATGACATTGCAACAAGTAAGACAAACTCTTGCATAGTATTAAAAGTCACTTAAATTTTACAGATACTTATTATGTCCGTGATATCAGCATAATGCAGTACCCCAATAGATCAATAATCATACAATGCATATTTTTAGAAGAAATAAAATCTACTGGAGAATGTCAAATTATCTTTTTTAACACTCAAGGACTGGATGAGTCCTTTAATATATCAGGATCAGTAAAAGTCCCAATATCACTTAATGAAAGTGGAAAATACATTGTGAGAGCATATGATGTTGTTAATGGATTCATAATTATGAGACCAGCTGTTGAAATGCTGGTTGATATTGAGCTAGCTCCATCACAAAGTTCAGGCAATAGTAGTAAGATAAGCTTCCATTCTGAGATTATACTATCACTTTATGTAGATACTTTATCAAGCATACTACCATTTTCTACACCTACAGCAAGTAAATTATATAGTTTGGCTTGTATTGCATGATACAACATAATTAATTTCATTCTGCATGAGCATAATATTTATTGTAGATACTTTATCAAGCATGCTACCATTTCCTACACCTACAGCAAGTATGACTTCACCACCAAGTACAAGTCAGTCAACAGCTCAACATATAAATTTTTCGATCACTTATTTTTCATTGTAGGTCCTAATTCATTATATTGGCTGTTACTAATTTTTGTCGCACCAGTAGTTATATTGGTCATAACATGTGTTATAATCTTATATTATATCAAAAGGAGTACACAATCTTTTGATTTTGTAGTCAATGTTGTCTAGCTGAACTTACTGTATTGCTTCATAAATTGGAGTAGTTAATGAAACTTTTGAATATGCTGGATTCATTATAATGTTTACTGCTGCTTGAGGTACATGTGCAGTGTTAGCAGCATAGGCTGGATTTTCAGTGATGCTTTTTTCTGAAACTATAAATAAAATTAATTATTATTACAAAGTTACAATCTATATTTTACCATCTTTTTTTTTCTTTTTCTTTATACAAAAAATTGTAGAAACTATTAATGCAATAACAATGATCATAGCTGCTACACCAGTAACAAATAGCAACATTGTACTTGAATGTGATGTCTCACCTCTGTCATCTTATAAATGTAGCAGTAAATTATATAGACAACTATTGCATTTTTACCTGGCATTTTCCCAACCACTGATGAATGGATGGCAATACTTGAAAAATCTTTAGATGTAAATGTATTACTACTTACTAGTAATGATGATAAACTAAATACATCTGAAATGACTAATAAATTATGAATTTAAATCTATTACTTACTTGCCGCAGTACTTGTAGTAGAAGATATTGAAGTTATTGTAATTATTAAAGGTAAAGGATACTGAATAGCAGGCCCAATAATAGAATTATTAATCAAACTATATGCAGCTACAGTGTAGT